GATATATCTTTGAGCTGTTATCAGCCTACCATGTTGTATTTTTCAGTTCTAAAATTTCCCTTTGGTTCTTCTTTGTATCTTCTATTTCTTTGTTTAGTCTATTTCTTTGCAGAGATTTTGTACTTTATGTTTCAAGAATGTTCATGCTTGCTCCTTAAAGCATTTTTATGATGCTTGCTTTAAAGTCCTTGTTAGTTCTTATATATCTGTCATCTTGGTGTTAGCATTTGTTGATAATATTTTACAGTCTAGATTAAATTCTCCTGGGTCTTGGTATGATGAGTGACTTTTTATTGAAAGCTAGATATTTTGGGAAAGAATATATGGGATGGTGGCATAGGTAAATGCTAATACTCATATCCTTCCACAACCACATTAAAATTACAACTAAAATACAGAACAACCATTATTCATAACCACCTGAAATCTGGCTTTATGGAAGCCCTACAACTAGAGAATTAAAGAAGAAAGAACATAGAGACTGGTAGCAGGAATGAAGGTGCAGAATGGGCTGGTCCAACACCCATGTGTGGTGTTTTTTTAATTGAGAGAGATATCTTGACTGAGGAGGCCTCCCATGAGGAGCAAGGGGTCCTAGCCCCACACCAGGCCCCCAGCCCAGGGTTCCAGAGCCTGGAAGAGAAGTCCATGTAATTTCAGGCTGTAAAAACCAGTGGGGATTGTGGCTGAGTGACATAGAGGCTGCTGGAGTCCCAGGCAGTTCCTCTTAAAGAGTCAGCACATGGACTTACTCAAGACTCACTTACTCTGAGCTCTAGCATTGGAGCAGTGGCCTGAAAGGGTCCAGGGACATACGGGGAGGAACTAAATTTTCTGGCATCATGGCAGGAACTCAGGGGCAGCTTTCTCCCACACAAAAGTGTTGGGACCTCTCCAACACAGAGCTTATTAGCAGGGTCTATATCTGAGTCTTCGTCAACCTGGCACACACTGTTTGCTCTTCCCTCATGATTACCTGAGATCCTGCCACGCCAAATTTGCAACCCCACCCAAGCTGTTTGCAGTCTTTTTCATATGAATGGCCTGTTCTGGATATGACTTCAGATTTTCTTAAAAATCTCTCCAACAAGCAGCAGCTGGACTCAGTGTACTCCATACCTCTGATAAGTACCCCAGGACCAGCATTAGCAGCAACTTGCTAAGGTTCACAGCTTGGCCTCTCCTGGCCACCTCCTAGCCCAACACAAGTAGCAGCGTTCTGCAGATTACTCTGTAGCTTGTGCTGGGTGGCCCCAGGCAGGGCACAAGCAGTGGCTGACTTTGCCACCTCCCAGGAGGCTCCAGAGCCAGTGCACCCAGTGGACAGCTTCAGACCACACTAGATTACAACTCTACCACATCCAAGAGTGATACACTTAAGGCACAGACTCTGTGAGTACCAAAGGCCTACTGAAGCAAGTCCTGCTCTATAGGAGTGTCTGCTATACAGCAGCTCTTCTGCTGCAGTCACAGATGGTCTGCCTTCTGAGCTCTAACCTCAGGACTGGGGACTCAGGGGTTAGAGCTCAGAAGGCAGACACCCCCATTTCCTGTGCTGAGTCATCTTTCCCACACAGATATTTGCCTTGCCTGGGGGGAAGACAGTTGACCCACTCTATTGGAAAACACCTTGAACTGGGGCCACTTAAGAGGCTAAAAATGACAATTAGCATCCAGGTAGAAACAACTGCCCCATTCAGTGGAAAAAAAAAACTCTCGCCATACTTGAGGACGATTGCCTGGGGGCAATTCAAGTCAGAATCCTTTTAGTCTGTAGGCAGAGGTGGCCTCTGGAGGCTTTGCATTTTTGTCAGAAACAGCATTTGACACTGTCTGACACTAGAGATTGAGAGGCATAGAGGTTCTACCTAATACATAATCACATATCCAAACAGGCAGCCAAAAGGAGGAGACAGAGAAACATCTCCCAAAAGAAAGAACAAGATAATTCTCCAGAAGAAGAGATAAATGAAGCAGAGATAAGAAATTTAGCTGAAACAGAGTTCAGAGTAATGATAGTAAAGATGCTCAATAGCAAGAGAAAAATATAGTCACTATGAAAATAGAAATAAAGAATGACAGCACAAATAAAGAACACATTGGAAGGAATACACAGCATACTAGGGGAAGCTGAGGATCAAATCAGTGAATTAGAAGATAGGGTTGAAAATCACTCAATCAGAGAACCAAAAAGAAAATAAAATTAAGAAACAGGAGGACAGCTTAAGGGAGCTGTGGGACAGTGTGAAGCTTAACAATATTTGAATAGCAGGTGTGCCAGAAAAGGCAGAAAGGGAGAAAGGAATAGAGAACGTCTTTCAAGAAATAATAGCAGAAAACTTCCCTAACCTGGTAAAGGAAAAAGTCACACTAGTTCAGGAGGCACATAGAACCCCAAGAAAGAAGAACCCAAACAGGCCCATGCCCAGACACATCATAATTAAAATGTCAAAAATGAAAGACAAAGAGAGAACATTAAAGGCAGCAAGAGAACAGGAAATTGTTACCTACAAAGGAGCTTCCATAAGGCTGACACCTGATTTCTCATCAGAAACTCTACAGACAGGAAGGGAATGGGATGAAGTATTCAAGGTATTGGGAAGCAAGGATCTGAGGCCAAGGTTACTATATCCAACAAGGCTATCATTCAAAATAAATGGTCAAATAACGAGCTTCTCGGAAAAAAAAAAGGCTAAAGGAGTACATCACCACCAAGCCAATATTACAAGAAGTGCTAAAGTGACTTCTGTAATGAGAAGAAACAGAGAAATCTAGGCATACAGAATTAAAAAGGCAATAAGTAAGTAGGGTTATCAATAATAACCCTAAATGTAAATTGATTAAATGCTCCAATTAGAAGGCAAAGCGTAGATGAATGGATACATACCATGACCCAACTATATGCTTTTATTTGTGTATCTTTTTTTGGAGAAATGTCTAGTTAAGTACTTTGCCAATTTTTAAATTGTTCATTTGGTTTTTTTGTTGTTGAATTTTAGGAGTTCCTTAAAAATTCTGGGTATAATCCCCCTATCAGATATATGATTTGAAAATATTTTCTTCCAGTCCATAAGTTGCCTTTTTGCTCTGTTGATTGTATCCTTTTATATACAGAAATGTTAAATTTTGATATAGTTCAATTTTCCTATTTTTACTTTTGTTACCTGTGCTTTTGGTATCATATCCAAAAAATCATTGCCAACTCCAATGTTGTGAAGATTTCCCCCTGTGATTTCTTCTAAGCGTTTTTATATTTTAGCTCTTCTGTTTAGGTCTTTGATCCATTTTGAGTTCATTGTTTTGTATGGTATAATGTAAAGATCCAATTTCATTCCTTTGCATGTGGATACCAGCATCATTTGTTGAAAAGACTGCTCTTTTCCCACATTGAATGATCTTGGCACTCTTGTGGAAATCTATTTGACCATCTGTACAGGAATTTATTTCCGGACTCTATATCCTATTTCATTGGTGCATATGTCTTTATGCCAGCACCACACTGTTTTGATTACTATATCTTTGCAGTAAACTTTGAAATCAGGAAGTATGAGTCCTCTAGCCTTGTTTTCCTGTTTAAGGATTGATTTGGCTCTTCAGAGTCCCGTGAGATTCCATATGAATTTTAGGATGGAGTTTTTTATTTTTGTAAAAGATGTCATTAGGATTTTTATAGGGATTGCATTAAATCTATAGGTTGCTTTAGGAGTATTGACATCTTAACAATAATAAGTCTTCCAATCCACGAACTGCTTGAATTTTTAAATAATCAAAATATAGTGGTATTCAAGTAAAATAGAGGCAGGTTCATAGATGGAGAGCAGGCAGGCAGTCCTGGGCGGGGGGAGGGGGTTAGGGGAGTGGAGGGATTGAGCAAAAAAGAGAGAACTCTTGGACAAGAGCAACAGTGTGGTGATTGTGAGGGTGGAGGGAGATGGGTGGAGGTTGAAGAGGGCATAGTGAGGATAAATGGTGATGGAAAATGAAATAAAATAAAATTTTAAAAAAGAAAATAAACAATTTAAATATATATATAATTTGTGTAATCAAGCATAGGTAAATATAAGGAGTTTTTGGCAGTGGAAACTGGTAAATTTCATTTTTCCTTTTCTGATTCATGCACCGGTGGTGTCCCTCGTACTGGCTTGCGGGGATCGGGCCAAAACCGGCTCTCTGACATCCCCCGAAGGGGTCCCAGATTGCGAGAGGGCACAGGCCAGGCTGAGGGACTCCACTGGTGCACAATCAGGGCCAGGGGGGGACCACAGGAGGGCTACAGGGCATGTCCGGCCCATCTCGCCCAGCCCCATCTTGCCCAACCCCATCTCGCCCAGCCCCAATCTGCCAGACCACAACAGTAAGCTAACCTACTGGTCAGAGCGTCTGCCCCCGGTGGTCAGTGCGCATCATAGCGACTGGTCGAATGGTCGAACAGTCGGAGGGACAATTAGCATATTAGCCTTTTTTATGTAGATAAATGACATTCATCACTGTATAAGTTTAAAAGTGTGTAGCATAATGACTTGAGAAGGTGGTCAAAAAGTAGAAACTTCCATTTACAAGATAAATACTAGAGAAGTACTGTACAACATGGTGACTATAATTATGGTGTATTTGAAAGTTGCTAAGAGACTAAATTCTAAACATTCTGGTAAATTTCTAATGTCAGTTCATGTATCTTCACTGGATCACATGATCCAGTTTTTATAAATTAGTATCATTTCTGGAGAAAAAGCATGAATAAGATATTAGGAGAGAGATGATTACCTGACCATAGGTGTTCATGAAAAGAAAATATTTGTGGTCTAATAAATTAAACAGAAATTGAATTAAATATTTTGTTTTTTTTAACAAATAGGCTTATTTAATTATTTAGTGATATTACTTAAGCTCAGATATAGTTTTATCTTGACTTTTGCTCATACCCAAATAAACTTTGGTCCCATTGATTAAAAAACCAGTTACTCTATTCACACCACTTACAACTTTGTTTCATTGAACAGAGAATTTGTTGGATTTCATTTCCTGAAGATTATCTGTGAACATTTTAAGTCATCAGAAAATATTGGAAAAGCTTTATTGCTCCACATTGACATACTTTTACAAAGGAAGGAAGAACTGCTTGCCAAGGAAAAGATTGAAGAAATCATTGTAGGTCAGTAGGATTTCTACATATGTTTTAGAAAGGTGTTAACATGCATGTATTTCGAAGGTAGATTTCAGAACAGTAGCAAAATACTCAGGTCAACATATTTCTCCTTTTTTTCATTCCTTTTTTACCCTCTCTAATAACCTTTAACTATAATACCTCACTTATCCAGATTTCACTTGTTTGGCAAGTTAGAATGAGGAACTAAGCAAAAATAGCAAAACATCACCAAAAACAGATAAACCTCTGAACTAAAAACTCATATACAGTAGAAAATTGTGATGTTAGAAGCCTAATTTCTTGTCTCCAGTTTGATCTAAAATTAGCTGTATGCCTTTGAGAAAATCAATAGTATCTCTGGATCTTGTTTTTTCCCAACTATGAAATGAAAATTGTGTACTATAATTCCTGATTATTAACTTCTATTTAGCAGTAGCATCCTTTTGTGATGCAATCTTACATGAACCCTGTCTTTGGAGTTGCTTTGGTTAAAGCAGAGATGTAGAGCCAAATCTTAGCATTCTCCTAACCCCCACCTCTCTTAGACTCCTATATCCTGAAGAACACAGAGAGTATATCCCTTTCTTAGAAAATTCTCGCCCCAATCTCTTCCTCCAACTCTACATACATAGAGAGATATAGTTACTAAATGTTAACATTGGAATTTATTCTGAGTGATGGCATTTTAGGTAATTTCTTTATATTTTACTAGATTGCTTGAGTTTTATAAGCATGTATCATGTTTTTACAAAAACACTAGTGGCCTGTTGCAGGAAGATTCATGCAATAGGCCTTCCTTCCCCTGGCTGCCAGCACCGGTTTTCCTCCGGCACCTGGGACCCAGGCCTTTGGTCCGGCCACAGCAGCGAGGCTTGGCTTCTCTGCTCCGGCTACTCCCAGCCCCTCCTTTTTTTTCCAGCTCCTCGAGCGGAGGCCAGGGCTGGCTGGAAGCCTGGGTCTCCCCCAGTGACCCAGGCCCCCAGCCCCTCCTTGAGTGGAGCCCAGGCCCCCAGCCACTCCTTGAGCGGAGTCCAGGGCCAGCAGGAAGCTTGGCTTCCTCAATCACTGGAAGCAATCCAAGCCTCCTGCTTGCTCCAGCTCCGTAGCCTCCACCATCTTCAGTCGTCTTCAGTCTTTGCTCTGCGCCTGTGTATGCAAATTAACCGCCATCTTTGTTGGGTTAATTTGCATACTCATCCTGATTGGCTGGTGGGTGTGGTGGAGTTACACCAATTTGCATGTTTCTCTTTTATTAGTGTAGATATTGATATTTTTAAAAAAATAGTTTATTGCCCTAACCGATTTGGCTCAGTGGATAGAGCATCGGCCTGTGGACTGAAGGGTCCCAGATTTGATTCCAGTCAAGGGCATGTACCTTGGTTGGGGGCACATCCCCAGTAGGGGGTGTGCAGGAGGCAGCTGATAGATGTTTCTCTCTCATCGATGTTTCTCTCTATCCCTCTCTCTTCCAATCTGTAAAAAAATCAATAAAATATATTTTTAAAAATTAGTTTATTGATTTTTAGAGCAAGAGGAAGGGAGAAGAGAGATACATCAATGTTAGAATATAAAATCAATCGACTGCCTCTTACATGCCCCTCCCTTACTGGGTACAGAGCCTGCAACACTGGCATGTGCCTTGACCATGAATCAAACCAGCAACCTTTTGGTACATGGATGATGCCCAACCAACTGAGCTACATTAGCCAGGGCTAGTTATTGATAATTTTTAAAAAGGAAATCTTTCGAGCAGTGGTCACCAACCTTTCAGACCTCACGGACCACCAGTGGTCCGTGGACCACCCGTTGGCGAGCACTGCCCCAAACGTTTCCTTAAATCAGCGGTAGCCAACCTTTCTGACCTCACAGACCACCATGGTCCGTGGACCACCAGTTGGTGACCTCTGGACTAGAGACTATAATCTCTAAGAGCCTTTTGAACTCTAGATTCTATGAAACATATTTTACTGATGACACCCTCCCTCCATACCATCACCAAGATTCTAGTTATTTTTAGATCCAATTTTAATTTTTAATTGATATTTTAGAGAGAGATAGAAACATTAATGAGAGAGAAACATCAACTTTGATTGGCTGCCTCCTGAATGCACCCTCCACTGGGGATCAAGCCCACAAACCGGGCTTGTGCCCTGACCAGGAATCAAACTGCCAACTTTTCAGTGCAAGGGATGATGCCCAATGAGCTGAGCCACACCAGCCAGGGCCAACCCTTAGCATTTTAATGGTAACATATTAAAAAGAATCAAAGGGCACTAGCTGGTTTGGCTCAGTGGATAGAGCATCAGCCTGCGGACTGAACAGTCCCGGGTTCAATTCTGGTCAAGGGCACCTGCCCAGGCTGTGGGCTCGATCTCCAGTGTGGGGCATACAGGAGGCAGCCAATCAATGATTCTCTCTCATCATTGATGTTTCTCTCTCCCTCCCTCTCCCTTCCTCTCTGAAATCAATAAAAATATATATTTTTTAAAAAGAGTGAAATGGCCCAGTGAATGTGGCTCAGTGGTTGAATATTGACCCAGAAACCAAGAGGTCACTAGTTTGATTCCCAGTTAGGGCACATATCCAGGTTGTGGGCTCGATCCCTACTAGGAGGTGTACAGAAGGCAACTGATCGATGATGTTTCTCTCTCATTGATGTTTCTATCTCTCTATCCCTCTCCCTTCCTCTCTAAAAATTAATAAGACATTAAAAAGACATTTTTAAAAAGAGTGAAGGGTCTACAGAGAAATATATGGCTAACCTTACCATAAGATAGGGAAAAAAAACCTCTACAAATTTTATAAAACAGTTTCAAACATTAAAAAATATATAATAATCTGTACTATATTCTGTAGTAATTACCAAAGGCATCACTGTAATAAATTAATAGTATAACAAAATACAGTACTTGTTATTATTGTTGACTTTGAATGGTCAAGAAATGGTTAAAATGTGCTTCAGAAAACTAGAAAGTGTGTTTAGAAAACATAATTCATGAAACATAATTTTAGAAAAAATAATGAAATTATTTAGACTTTTAAAAATAAAAAATGTTTTATGTTTAATAAAAATAAACTGTCAGTCAACTAGAAAACGTGGTTATCCAGAATAATTAATTTTCCTAAGATTACATTTAGGGAATCTTAGTTTTATTGTGATATCAGATTATACACTTATACTCCCTAAGTATTATAACATTTTACTCTCATGTGAGAATTTTTAACTAAGTCATGGCACAAACTATATCTGCTGACTAGGCTTGGGTGTCAGAGACTCTCAGTGCTCTAATCAAGACTTTGCAGAAATTGATAGTGCCAAAGGGGTGAAAGAGAAGTGGATATAGAATTATATTATTGTTTTAAACTTTATGTTAATGTGTGCTAATATATTTGAACCCTGTAAATGTCTAGACAACAAACAATCAGACACAAGTTACAATTTAAAGTAATAAAGTTTATGTGTAAACATTGTCTTAAAGTATTTTACAAAGGCTTTAAGGTATAATTGGCTTTGTGAATTTGATGTGATCTGGTTAATACATAATAAACATTTCTTATTAATGATTTCTAACATTGCTGTATGTTCATTCACAATAATATTAAGGCACCAGATGATGATCAAATTTGGAACATGGGAAATACGTTAAAGAGATACTAGACTGGAAAACTATCACAGATTGATGGGCGAATTACTGTGAATCTACCAAGCTCTGATTGTATTGTATAATCAGTTTTGCTAGTAAATCTAAAATTGATTACGAAAACCTGTCTAAATGTGATTCTGTTTGTAGCCATTACGTAAAGATTATAGGGTCTGAATATAGTTAGCTCTTTTATTTAATGTAATAGATCTTGATTCTTGTTTCTAGATATTGAGGTTCGTTTTTTTTTTAGGTCAGCAAACAGGAAGACCACTGCCAAAAGGATTAGTAGGCTATTTACACAGCATTCTGTGGAAAAAAGCTTACAGAAGTTTTCAGGTTTGAGAATAATATGTTTTCATTTTTTTATATTCTTTCTCAACCCCAACAAATGAAACAATATGTTGACTATAAAAACCATAGAGCATCAAATACTTTAATAATATCTCTATTATTCATAATTTAGAGTGTTAATTGGCATTAGATAAGAATTTATTTTAAAATACTAAGATGTGATTCATTCCCAATGGGAACTTACAATGTAGGGAAATGATATTAAGCTATAGAAAAGTAATTTAACATGAAGAATGAGAAACTCCAAGGGATTTTATTCCTTTTAAAAATTGTGGTGTAGCCTGGCTGGTGTTGCTCAGTGGTTGAGCATCAACCTATGAACCGGGAGGTCATGGTTCGATTCATGGTCAGGACACAGGCCCGAGTTGCAGGCTCAGTTCCCAGTAAGGGGCGGGCAGGAGGCAGCCTATCAGTGATTCTCTCTCATCATTGATGTTTCTGTCTCTCCCTTTCCCTTCCTCTCTGAAATCAATAAAAATATTGTTAAAAATTGTGGTATGAAGCACAGAAAATAGGCCAGTGAAAATACTTTGAATACTGCTATAAAGATGGATAGATATCATTATACATTAGTCTAAACCAGGGGTGGGCAAACTTTTTGACTCGAGGGCCACAATGGGGTTCTTAAACTGGACCAGAGGGGCCGGAACAAAAGCATGGATGGAGTGTTTGTGTGAACTAATATAAATTCAAAGTAAACATCATTACATAAAAGGGTACGGTCTTTTTTTTTTTTAGTTTTATTCATTTCAAACGGGCCGGATCTGGCCCGCGGGCCGTAGTTTGCCCACGGCTGGTCTAAACCCATAGAATGTACAACAGCAGGTGTGAACCGTAATGTAAACTATGGACTTTGGGTGATTATGATGTGTCAGTGTAAATTCCTTAATGTC